AGTCCTCTCTGACAGCAGTGCTTCCTCGTAAGACAGCCCTCCCTTTGGATTTCAGCTATAGTCTTCCGATAGCGAACCCGACATGTCAAGATGTCCTCCCCTCCATACATATATTTCACGGTAATTTCACCATACTCCCAAGGTACTTGTCAACAAAAAGCTCAGATACGTATTCCGCCGAAGTAGCTGTCGCTGCATGACAAAACTTTGGGCAGAGAGGCTGGTTGGTGGGTCTCTTAGTGTCAAGGGCACTCAACGACAAGCCCTCCGCCTAATACTTCCATAGAATTGTCAGTTGAATATATATATATATAGTGTCGGGATAGTCTCGGACTCAAATCACCCGTGCAGCCGAAGCCGCGTGGGGACCGAGTCGAGATGCACACCTCCCACTTGCGTGGAAGGTGGCAGTTGGTGCATGCGGTGGGTGAGTGTTGATGTGCGTTGGTGATGGTGGAGGAGGGAAGGGAGTGTGTGGATGTGTGGAGTAACCGGCGGTTGTCTACCGCAGGTTGTCGTGGATGCGCATGTGGCCGAATAGGTGCATGCGGTGCCAGAAAGTGCGAGGACAGTGTGGGCAGTTGAGACGAGCTTGGTGGGTGTAGGTTGGTGCTCCAGGCACTGGTTCTCCGGTCTCTGTGCGATGGATTCGCAAGTGACCGACCAGGCCGATGCGTGAGGTGAATGTGCGTGGACAGTGTGGGCATGTGAAGTCGGCGGTGTCAGAATCAGCTACAAAGGAGGCGTTGGTGGTGGCGCAGATGGACGGTGCGAGGGTGGTGCTGGGCATGATGGGCGTGGTTGGTGTTTCGGAATTGTGGTCAATTCCGCTCTCGTGTATGCGCATGTGGCCGAATAAACCCACGCGATGCGTGAAGGTACGAGGGCAGTGTGGGCAGTGGAGGCGAGTGCGGTGGGTGTAGGTTGGTGCTCCAGGCACTGGTTCGCCGGTCTCTGTGCGATGAATTCGCAAGTGACCGACACTAAATACATGCACAATAAAACGCACAGAGAAGAATTATCAGTGACGAGATGAACTCACATGAGTGAGGGCTTTCTCGTGGGGCCAAAGAAAGGTGTGACGACAACTCCCGGGTCTTCATCTGTAGAGGGGAAGAATCACAGGTGAGTTGGCTAGGCAACAGAGTCGGGATGCATTAAACAGAAATAAGCAATGCCCTCGAAAATATCCTTGCACGGAGAGGTTTATGGGCAAACGGTGGAAAAGAACCGGCGCCAAGGCGTGCTGCAGCAGCCACAGTTCTCGAAGCGAAATGCTTAATGTCGGTAGGATTACGAGACAGAGGCTGGACAGAAGTTGATCAAACAAGTGTGGGGAAAAAGAAGACAGGGATAAACTACAGCAGGTATGGTTTGCCATGTCACACAGTCTTTGTGGTTGCTCTCCCTACTTTTCCCGGCTCTGTGGAAAGGATTTCTCTCCGAGAATTTTGAAAAAACTGCTTCAAAAGGAATGAATTAGCACACGATCATACCAATAAACACTGGAATAATGTGTCGACTTGTGCAGAGTATGTGCAAGGGTATTACATCCAAAGTGAACATCAGTACGCTCGGCAGAAATCGAACAATGGGAGCGTCGCGAGCGAGACGACCAGATGCTTCAGTGAGAGGTACTCAAAATAGACCATGCCAGCAAAAAAGTAGAAGAAGCCTGCCGTGAGCTGCAGTTTTCTCGCCTTGACGCTGAAGCGCGGATTGTCTGGCACATCAATGCCGTCGGCAGCAGAAAGTTTACGTTCGATTAGGATACTCAGGGATGTGTATAAAAGTGTAACAGACTGGCCGCAGATTGAACTTAAGCCAGGCGACTACCTGCGTCCTCTGGATTATTAAAATGCGTGCTAATATAGACGGCGTCATTAAATGATTGGGCACAGCCCCCCGCTCCCGGCACCTTGGCGAAAGAAGAACTCTAAGACCGGAATTGTGTTAAGAAAACTTTACGGGTAGGGCCTTTTAAAGAAAGGGACAATGCGATTGAAACAGTGTAACACGCCAGAAAATCACATTTTCATCACATGCTCCAGTTCAGTATTATTGAGATAAATGTAGGTCTTCACCTTTGAACGCCCTATTTGTATACAAGCAACTGAAAAATCTCAAAAACTGGAAAAGGTATCATAAAGGTAACAAACAGTCAAAAAAGCGTAAACTGTGTGCAGATAAACAAACTTCCTCGAGTGCTAGTGGTACGAGCAGTGGTAAAGTTGTCGTTTCGAGTGCAGGGAAATAAATAATACCCTCAGTGACAAAATTTGCACAGGTGCATACCAGTAGGCGTATGAGATAGGTTTGGGACAACAATAAATTCAATTTAAAATGTTACTGAAATATAGAAAGTAGTATTACAACAACGGGATTTGTCAAGGTTACAAAGGTCGGGTGGTAATTTACTGGACATGGCTATACAAATTCAGCTTCCTCTTAAGGACCTCGACGGAAGCAGACATAATGACATCCGGAGGCAGGGCGTTCCAAGCAACAAGCACTCTGTTAGAGATGAAGAACTTGTGTTCAGTGTACTACGTACGGCCGAATTAATTCGTCCGCAGCACAAGAGGAGGCCAATAAGGAACGGGATGGCCAATAAGCTTTCGGTAAGACTGGTAAGAATTCAACTCGTAAAACCCATTTTGCCAGACATCCCCTACGTGAGGCTCTCGTACGCTAAAACACTGGCGAGATGGGGTTTATGAACTAATATTCAACTCGTCAAATAGTACCAAGAAAACCAAAAATCTTGCGCATATCGTGAGTCAAACAAATTCAGAAGTAGGTCTGAGTAAAAGGGGTGACAGCCAAAGTCAGAAGTACGCGCTGTCACTTGAGCCATCGGCCGGTCAGGCTTCAGACGGTGGTGTTTTAATCTCCCAGTCCATTTTAGAAGAAGGGAGCCAAGTTTGTACTCAAAAAATCATCTCTCGGTATGAGATGTAAAGGCTGCATAGCAGGGGGGGGGGAGGGGGGCAGAGACCAACCTGAATAGCTTCAATGGCAGCATCCAGTGGAGACAGATCTGTGTCCTGAGTACTGGTCACTTCGAGACGGCAGCGCAGATGCGGGAAGGTGGCTTCGGTGGTTAGCGTGGTGCGACGCAGCCACTGTGCGGTCAGGTCATCAGTGCGTCGGGGACCGGGTGCCGTAAGACATGCCTCGACAGACATACCTGGGTAGACGCAGGAGGAGAAGGTAGAGCGCAAAGGCTATTGTACCGGCAACATCCCTCTCTAAATGATTGGACAAAAGCCACGAGACTACTTACCCGGCTGCATGATGAACGGTGTTTCAAAAAAGAATTGGCGAACATCGTGCTGGCGCTCAAACGCAGTGAGGGCGTCGTCAGAGGTCTCAGGCACGTAGGGTTCAACAAAAGTTACCTATAATTAAATGACATCAAGCATTACGACTGAATAACTATTAAGTAGCGCGTTATTGTTAGTAAAATAGACGGCGGGGACTAGCCTGAATGTATGCTTTGTCGGGGGAGAGGGCATCGAGGCTGACGTAGTTATCGGCGAGAAGTTGCACCTTGTTCCGGCCCAGCCGCTGCGTGTGCACATTCATAATGGACTGGATAAATACGCTCAACTTTTGACAGGGCCCAGTGCGGTAGATGAAAGATTTTCCCGAAAATCCTTCAAAGGCCTGTTAGATGAGAATTCAGGGAGGGAAGTTTTTAATTATGGGAAGGCAGGCTGACACATAAACAAATTGGGCGAAGAGCAGCTAATGCTATAGCATATTTCGAAAAGCCCGCGAAGTCTAAAGTAGTAGCAGTATTTTCTCAAAACTGGCTGACAGGGGGGCGTTGCTAGTCCGTAGCAGATTAAAAAAGCATGGGGGGGGCGACTTGCCTTCCCATAGAACGTTACGCGATAGTAGGAGGCGAAGAGTCGGTGGCCTCGTGATTCTGCATCATTGATGGCTTTGTAGGCGTCTCCCAGGTGGTGGTAGATCCTAGAGAGGGCCATAAAATCTCGCCTGGCTTCGTAAACCGGCGTTACAAGAGCGTAGACCGGTTGCAGGGCCTCAAAGAGGCCAGCCGACTCCAGAGCAACAGCGGCATCCGCCAGGTCACGCAGAAGGTCCTCCTACAGAACAAAGGAACAATCCATTAGCTTAGGATCGAACGTTTCATGGATAAGAACACAACACCGTCGGTCGAGTAGCCTAGCTAGCGACCGTCACGTTTGAATGATTGTCACGCAGTGACTGGATCAGCGGAAGAACCCTGCAGTTGTCTGCTCAGACGGCTCGAGTCAGATCCCGTAACGATAACTGGGTTAGATCGCAGTTGGTAGCCAGGACTGGGGAGGCAGACAACGAGGTCCCTGTCATACGGGAATGGTGGGAAAGGGGGTTATATGGGTGGGCCAAGTGCAAGTGCTGGTGGAGAAATGCTGGAGTTTCTGGGAAAAAGTAGTTACCAAAAGAACTGTAGGGAAGTTTTAGTAAGGTAGGCCGTAAAGCTAAATCCCAATGAATCCTCATACGGAAAACCTAATTCCAAGGTTCTAAAACTTTTCCGGAAAATACTAAGTCTAACCCTAACCTCAAAACTAAACCCTATCCTTAACCTAAGCTTAAACTTAACCCTAACCTTAACCGTAACTCTAACCTTAACCATAACCCTAAACTTAACCGTAACCCTCCCCTTAACCGTTAACCATTATTCGTTAACCGTTAACCCCAACCCTGAAGCCGAAACCCAACCCTAAATTCAAACCATAATCATAAACCTAAATCCTAATCCTAACACTGAAGCAGGACCCTATAACGCAAATCCTAATCCTCAAACCTAACCTACACCTAACCATAACCCTCATTAAACCCAATAGCCTGACAGAAACGGCTGACCTACCTCATGCAGTAGAAGCGCACCTACTTATAACCAGTTCCCTAGACAAGGTAAACACACCTACTGATAACAAGTAAATACGTCGACAGTATCAGCGTAAAATGTCTGGCTACCAACTGCGATCTTACCGATGACTGATTCCGCCAACTTTGGAGGATGACAGAAAAACGGCCAGGCATGACCAGAAGTAATATTAAGCTGAAATAGCGACCTCCACGGAACAGGCCTCGAACGTTGGTGACACTCGAAAACTCTACCAACTTATCCGCCCAGTTAGCGGTAAGTCAACTACAGTGAGTGACTCTGTTCGCGACGTGAACGGCGGCTGTATTGCTGACGACTCGGCCAAAGTCGAGCGCTGGCGTGAGCAGTTCGAGCACCATCTTAGCTTCGATACCCAAACTACCTCATCTTTGCTCTCCTCTTCAGTGGAGTTCCTTCCCTTTCCCACCTATGCAGTGCCATGCGACCCTCCCCCCTCCTCTGATCGAGAAGTCGCCGATGCCATACGAAAGTTACGCAACAATAAGATACCCGGACAGAACGGTATACCCGCTGAAATCTTCAAGTCTTGTGTTGACATTCTGGAGCCCTAGCTCCATGAGGTGATTGAGCGAACATGGGGAGGAGAGGTTGTTACTGATGACCGGGGCTTAGGCATCCTTGTACCTGTCCTCAAGAAGGGAGATAAGACAAGATGCGAGAAATACCACCGCATAAGCCTCATCGACGTTGCTACTCAGGCGATTCCAGGCTGTGCGTGACTCAAGAACGACGCCCAACCAAGCCGGATTTCGTGCTGGACGTGGATGCGCAGACCAGATATTCACACTGGGTGCATTCTAGAATTTTGCCATAGCTGCCAGCAACCGACGGCTGTCTGCTTCATTGACTTTGCCGCCGCGTTCGATTCCGTTCACCGTGAGTCTCTGTGGCGGATAATGGCGCCAGATGGTGTACCGGCAAAAATCATCGCCACGATCAAGGCCTACTATCGCTCCACTACTGCGAGAGTCCTGGTCTGCAACAATCTTTCGCAACCGTTCGGTATTCAGTCTGGCGTGCGACAGGGTTTTAACCTGTAGCCCATTCTGTTCAACTATGCTATTGACTGGATCCTCGGGAGGGCCCTAAACGAGGGTGACGGCGTTGAGTTTGCACCCGGACGCCGAC